ATGGAATATTGCAAGTGCTGTGATCAGAGTAGGAGGAAGTTGTGGTAGAGGAGTGGCTGGGACCATTGTAAGTGCTTTGGTCAGGTCCAGGTCCAGTTATCGATAAAGAGAGGCAAGTGAGGTATTCATAAAGAAGTCTGAGTAAGATGTGTAACTGAGAAGTCACATTATAAGAGTAGATCAGAGAATAACAGGCATTACTGACCTAGACAACTGAAAATGATGAGTTGGTTATAGGGGTGTGGGGAGATAAGCTTCTGTGATTTAAAAAAAGAAAAAAAAAAAACCCTGCTAAGTGTTGGTACATTATGTTGTATGTGTACATAGACATGTGCATTTGTAGGTACTTTTGAGGGGAGATTTATTAAATTGATTTTCATCAGATACAGAATATCTAAGATGATACATAACTAGAATTGAAGATTCAAGCCAAAATTCTTGAAATTTGGTTTGAAGGTAAGATAATAGTTGAGGTTACATGTCTTCAAAGTACTTTATTTTTGGGTATATTCATGGCCAGGAGATAAAAGCAAAAACTAGCAGAAAATACCAAAAAAGTGGATAATGGAAAGAACCAACTGCACCAGATGGTTGCATCTGAAACCAGAAGCTAGCCATGAGGAATTTTAAAAACTGGGATAAATAGACTTGTGGTGTCACAGGGCTACCAGGACTTTTTCATTCTGTGGCTAGCTGGTATATTTTAGAGTGATTTTGTGAGTTTCTCCTATCCAAAATCAGAGAGCTGTTAATGTATGGTGAGATATTAGATTGTTGCATTAAAGCTGCCTGTACTCATATCCAGAGCACGATGAGTTGCCCTGTTAAAAGCTGAATGTCATCCTGCCTCCAAAATTTCAGATTCTCTTTAGTAGTCATTCTGTCCTTTGCTTTAAGGAAGAATTATTACTTATAAATAGTGGATTACATGGTGCTGTCTTCTGCACCGTCCTTTCTTATTTGGATGTCCTCTCTACATACATCCCCTGCAACTACACCCCCTAGTACAAGTGGAGCTCATAAGAGCTGTATTTCAGATAGTTGGTTGGTTGGTCTTCCCATTGGTGGTCTTCAACCATACACACACTGTCTTCTCATTCTTGAAACTCTGATTTTACTTTATAGCTGAGTGTTCCTGATCCCTAAATAGGATGTTCTGTTCCTGAAGCACTTTGCACATATTTTCCTCGTTAGCTTTGAGCTTCCTGTAGTCAAGAACTGTTTGGCATCAATTGTATTTGCAATGTTTTATGTCTTAAGTGATGGTGAGAACACGGATCTTTATCAGAGTACTCATGAAACTCTCATTTGACTAAAATAGGCAAGATAATTTATAAAAGATTTTTGTTTTCAAAGGTCATAAGTGTTTCATTTCTCAGTATGCATATAATCTGACTTTTGCACTTATTTCTTTATTAACTCAGGAATATGTTTGTGTAATAAAAATATCTTTTTCTGTTTTTCTTCATTGGACCAGTTGTTGCAAAGTATATCTCTTAATAATATATGAGATGCCATATATATGTATTTTTTTGATATTTTGTTTTGTATGCTCTCCCTATATTGCCCAGGCTAGTCACCAAGTCTTAGGTCAATTGGTTTTCCTTGCTTAGCGCCCCCCCCAGCTGAGATTTACAGGTGTGTGCATACCTGGCTTGTAAATTCTTTATTATTTATCTGGGGTTTTTGTTTTGTTTTGTGATGCCAGGGGGGCAAAACAGAGTCATACACATGAAGGTATGCTGTGTACCCCTGAGCTATATCTAAGTCCTAAAAGCAGTTACATACACTTGAGTTTCTTTTATTTCATGCTGTTGACTTGTCTATTCTTCCGTGTCCATGCATATTTTAATCTTTATAGTGTGTCTGAATGGTATTACATCAAATCTTCTTTTTGTTGTTTGAAAATTGGCCCTTAGTCTCTAATTTTTAATGTGAAATTTTAATTGATGTGTAAATTTCTATAATAAACTACTTTGCTATTTGGGTTAAAGTCGTGCTCCATTTTTATATTGTGAAATTCTTATGTAGTTCTGACTAGATTTCTCCTATTCTAATGTTGCTTTGGTGCTATTATGAGTAGTATTTTTTCTATTATGTTGGTTGGTTATTACCGATGTGCAGGAGTGCTATTTTTTTAAATAATCATTTATTCAAACACTACATTAGAAGTCTAGGAGTCTTACTAGTTTAACATTTTATTTTTGACTTGTAGCAGCTACATATTTCAAAACCACAACAGTGAAAACATTGCGTAAGAATAAGCAAATAGATGGGAGGTAAATTATAGCCCACCTCTTAGTTTTTTTTTTTTTGTTGTTTGTTTGTTTTATTAAGTATTATGAGAATATAATACATGCATAGACTAAAAAAGGTCTTAAAAAGTTTTTTGGGGGGCGTCAAAACACTTTATTCAGAGACTTGGGGGGAAAGGCTGGCGAGGTCCATGCTGTCTGCCGTCCTCCACCGGACAGATCTGGAGTCCACCTATCGCTAAGAGGCAGACGAGCTCTTAAAAAGTTTTAAATAAAACTATAGGCCACATACTGCAGAACAATTATGTAGAAATCAAATTTCTAACAAAGGTCTTATACCCAGAATATATGTTCAAAACTGTCAAAACTAATACTAATGAAACAAATCTAATTAAAAATTAGCATAATAATTGAAGTGGTTATACTGTCCAGGAAGCTCTATAGCTAAACATAACGCCTACATGGCCCAAGCCACTAGTTAAATTGCAGTATTATAGCCCAGCTAGTGGTGGCGCATGCCTTTAATTCCAGCACTCTGGATCTCTGGATCTCTGGATCTCTTTGAGTTAGAGGCCAGCCTGGTCTATAGAGTGAGTTGCCAGACAGCCAGGGCTAAACAGAGAAACCCTGTCTTGGGGAAGAAAAAAAAAAGTTGCAGTGTCATATGTCATGTACACATTTGAATATTGTTTATCTAATAATCATATCATATGCAAAGCATGGTTTTGAATTCTAGAGATATGTCAAGAACACAAAATTGCCTCCTTTGCTTACAGTCTGTTTGGGTAATATACACACTGTGTTCATTTCTTAGAACTAATGTAACAGCATCATAAATCAGGTGATTTAAAATGCCGGGCAGTGGTGGTGCATAACTTTAGTCCTAGCACTCGGGAGGCAGAGGCAGGTAGATCTCTGAGTTCCAGCACAGCCAGGGCTACACAGAGAAAGTCTGTCTGAAAAAAAAAAAAAAAACACATCCAAACAAATAAATGAAATTACAGAACTGTTATTTTCTCCAGAAGCCAGAAGTCCTTCTGAGACTGGAAAGAATCTGTGGCTCTCCCTAGCCTACAGTAGTAGCCATGTGTTGACATTTTGGGTTTTTTGTTTGTTTGTTTGTTTTTGTTTTTTTAGCTTATAGCTGTGTCACTCCAGTCTCTGCCTTCTGTCATATGGCATTTGTGTCTCTCTTATAAAAGTCATATTGTTCTAATGTCTTACCCAAGTCCACTAGGGCTTCTTTGCTAATTACATCAGCAGTGGTCCTGTTTCCAAAGAGGATCCTATTTTGAGGTTCTAGGAGTTAGGATTTGAGTGCATCTTTTGTAGGGGACATAGTTCAACCTTGAACAAACAGTGAGCAAAATAAGAAATTTATGTGGCATTTTAGAATTGGGCTTGACAAAAACAATGGCCTGCAGACCAAATCTGGCTTGCAGTCTTTTTGTAAAGAAAGTCTAAACATTTATCTGGCTCTTTACATAAAATATTTGCCAGTCTGTTACAGATGTCTCAAATGTTATGAAGGAGAAAACAGAAACCAGGAGAGCAGGGTTGTAAAAGCAGTTCAGAGAAGCCAAGAAAGACCTCAGTGAGAAGGAGGGAGTGCAAAGGCTGCAAAAACTAAACCTATGTAGTGCTTATAGAGTTACAACTCTCATCACATGTGTGAACCTGACTTCTAAAGTAAGAAATATATATTTACTTACACAATATGAAGTTTAGGTGTAGAATTTTGCAAGACTGTCCAGCAACATTTTCACTTGCTATTTTTCTTGGTGAAATTATAGAGACTTTACATACCTGCACTGTACCCCCCCTTTTTTTTCATTTGAAATTTTAAAACTGTTACAAATTTAATTCCTTGTTTTTGTATCATATCAAAGAACATGGCAATACAGGACTCAATTCTTTGCCTAAGTTTTAAGTTATTTAAAACAATAACTACTGCTTCTCAATTTAATATAGTACTGAGCATAGTTGGACAGTTGAGGAGTCAGCAGTTTTAATTAAGTGCCAGTCGAGAACAAAAGGTATCAACCTTCTGCTAAGGACAACAAGATGCCCTTGTTATATTACATAGACATCAAGAGGGTTGAATTAGGTGTTGGTGACTTTAATAGTTGCAACTATATATTAAATCAGCGGTTCTCAAACTGCTCTAAACAGTACTTCATGTTGTAGTGACTCCCAACCATAAAAATATTTTTATTGCTATTTCATAACTGTAATTTTGCTAACTATTAGGAACCATAACATAAATATCTATGTTTTGTGATGGTCATAGGTAACTCCTTGTGAAAGAGTCATTTGACCCCCAAGGAGTTGGCGACCCTCAGGTTGAGAATCACTATTAAACATAACTCTAGGCCCTAATGTTTCCAAAGACTTGAGGCAGGAAGATTACTTTAACTCAGTAGTTAATGGCCAACCAGGACAACATAGCAAAACCTTGTCTCAAAGGGGAAATAAAGACATATTAATAACCACTGGATTATTAAATACCCTCACCCAAGTATTTGTGGGATTATTTTATTCTGAAGTTCCGTAACATGTGCTGCTTGGTGCAAACCCAAAAACATACCAGTGAAGGGTTTAAAGAACACATGTACAGGTGGATCCAGGAGCTAGAGAAGGAGTAGGGCTGAATCTGAACAAAATATAATGTGTGTGTATATGAAGTTCTCAAAGATTCTAGTAAAGAAGCAAGTGTACAACACTTACCAAGTCATCATTCTGAACAAGGCTCTCTATCTTCACAGGGAGACCGACAGAAGAAACATGACATTTGGAGGCAGTGGACTTGCTTCAGATTCATGCCTTTGCGTTTGCTAATTTTGTGAGTTGAGTAAGTGATTTGTGTCTGAATTTTTGTTTTTCTTCTGTGTTCCTTCTGTGTGAAAAAAAAAAAAAAACAGTCCAGTTTCTGTTAGCATGAGCTGGAAAGGAGTAAAGGGTGGATGACTGGAAAGTTATTTAGCTCAATTTTATGTAGTTATAGCAGATGGATTCAGAGTAACATGTTCTGTAAAGATCATCCCGATCCCTACCTAGCTCACCAGTGAACACAATTTACTTTATTTCGGACAGCTGGGCTTCATACAAGGTTCTGCAGTTATAACATTTACCTTGCCATAGTAACAGTTTATACTGATATCTTTCTCAGTGAATGCAGTCCTTATTCATTCTTCATTTTGTCCCTAGGTTAGATTTTTTAAAATGGAAATAATATAAAAATCTCAGTGTAGGCAATAAAAATAAAGTAGCATAGTTATTAAATATTAATCAGTCACAATTACATTGCCTTTTTCCCACTTGAGAAAAGCCGAGAAATGAAAAAACAAATAGTAACGCAGTTACTGCATCCTGAGTTCTCAAGCAAACCATTCATAATCTGTGTGACGAGCATTATTCGAAGAAGTCACTTGTGACATACCCTTCAGCACACTAGTGTTGGCTGGCCAGAATCTAGGAATTACCAATACAGAAGAGCCACTCCGTTCTGAAATAAACCTTTCTAGCACATACAGTTAGTAGTCATGTCTTTTTCGTTTTGTAAAAGCTTCCTAGAAAGCTTTTACAAATTCAAGGAAGTCATTGTATGCAGCATTTTTGCAATATGTGCATATTCTGCAAGAGCTGTGGAGTAAGAGGAACATTTAATACACCTTTAATTTGAATGTTTGCTGTCAGCAGAATCAAAAGAAATATTTAGCAGAATACTGTCCATGTTAAACTAAACCACAAGCGAAGTTAGTTGTACAGGATACAACACAGAACACATTTGTACTTTGATGTCAGGCACTTTAATATAGACACTCCTTCCTCACATCTCAGTGACAGTTTTAAAAATTAGGAAGTAATACTTCAAGTCATTACAGTGAAAGGCTTTTCCATTTCCTCATGGTACTGCCCAGTCACAAGCCTACCCTGCTCTAGTTCTGTATTGCATGTGAGTGTTAACCATGCTGTACATATTTGTACATTCTTCTTGCTAATTGCTATGGCTCACTTACTTGACTCTGCAACCTGTTGTGACTGGAACCTTTCATTCCACACACTTCTGTGGGGGATTTTTCCTTGTGCTTGATATATCATTAGTTTGTTCCCATTTATTGCTATTCTGTTTTGAAAATATGCCCTGAGCTGATTTTCTTTATCCATTCACCAATTGATAGATATTTGGGTTGTTTCCAGTTTGAGATTTTTCTCATTAAACATTTAAGTATGTTTTTGTGTGGACATATGTTGTTCTGATTTCACATCATAAAAAAGTGGGATTGGTCCTTAACTATTGATGTCATCTAGCAGTTTTGTGCAGCCATAACTTTAGTGAACAGAGAAAAAAAAATTCCCTTTCTGCATTCACATGGGTATTTTATCTCCTTTCAAAAAAATAGCTGCACAGTAGAAACAAGCCTCTGTTTGAGCTTCTGTGTAAAGAACAGTTTTTAAAATTTCACATTATGTCTTTTATAGGAACATCCATTCAAGATGTCAACACTGAGAATTTGGCTAACGCAAGCTTTGTTTATTTTCCTCATCACTGAATCTATAGGTAAGGTTCATGAAATGTCCCAACTACACAAATTCGGCTTATATATCTTATATACTATATAATTAGGCTCATGTTTAATAGTTATATAATTGTGCTTATATATATTTTCTAGGGTCATTATTGGGAGAAATATCATTAGTACAAATATACCTGATAATTTGTTTTATATCATTTATTTGAGTTTCATAAATACTGAATGCAAATTAGCTATATTTCAGTAATATTAAGGTTGGTGATGTACAAAAATGTTTTTAAATAAAGGAATAGGAGAAAAATCTGTTAATTCTTAGCACTTTTTTCTCCTTAATTATTCAAAAGTCATCAAGCAGTTTGGTTGCATACCAAGACGAAGGGGTGTTGGAAGCTGTACCATTAATACTAACCTTATGACCATCTGGTAGTCTAAAGTGAGATGAATGAAGAATTAAGAATATATATGCAGAAAACTTTTAAACAGTTTACCTGTATGGGTATTTTGCCTGCATGTATGTCGTTTCATGCACCACATAAATTCCTGGTGCCTGGGAAGGCCAAATGAGCATGTCAAATCCCTGGGGACTGGAATTACAGATTGTGAGTAGCTTTGTGGGTGCTGGGAATCAAACTCCAGTCCTCTACAAGATCAGTAAGTGTTCTTAGTCACTGAGCCATCTCTCTAGCCCCTAGAAACAGTTTGACAAACTATGACAACCAAGCATATTGTCAGTGGGGTCAGCAAACAATAACACAAATCTATGCAGGTTGGAAGAAGACACCTGACCTCTGTCCCAGACAATTTGAAAAGCACTGCTTTAGGTCAGTTCTCTTCACATGGAGGAGTTTGGCTCCACTTTGAACAGTTTCCAGTGACAGAAAACCACTGGCAAGCATTGGCAGAAAAGCATCCTTAAGCTCATAGACGCTGAAACTACAGAGAGATGTGGAAGGCTACTCCAAGGCATCTGGCCTGAATAAGTGGAGGGAGGTAGAGAAATAAGCAGAAGTAGTAAGCTTGAGCTAAGCACGCTAATATGTATCTGTAATCTTAGTATTCAGAAAACTGAGGCAGGAGGATTTCAAGTTCAAGGCCATATAGCAAGACCCTGTATCATTACTTGAAAACACCAAGCCAACATTGTCTTATACCAAAACCAGACAACACACATATCTAGATAGCTATATGCCAATATCCTGATGAACATAGATGCAGAAAATCTTGGTAAAAAACTAGGAACAGGATTCAACATCACATTATTTACTCTGATTAAATACATTCATTGCAGAGGTACAAGACTACCATATACAAATGAGTAAATGAGATTGACATATGGAAGGACTGTATAATCGCCTTAGATGCATTTGATAAATTTTAATGTAAAACATTTCATAACTTACAGTAATAAATTAGGTATAGGAGGAACATTTCAGCATAATAAAATTTTACACACACACACACCCCTAACATGCTGAATGGATAGAAACTGAAACCTTTTTCTCTAAGATAGAGGCTATTTTCACTACCTTTATTTCTAACCACTCCTACTAAATATGATATTTGAAGACAGTACTGCCTGGTTTTGTGTGTCAACTTGACAAAAGCTAGAGTCATCAGAGAGGAAGGAGCCTCAATTCAGGAAATGTGTCCATGAGATCTAGCTGTAAGGCATTTTCTCACTTAGTAACTAATGGGGGAGGGCCCAGTCCATGGTGGGTGGTGCCATCCCTGGGCTGTTGGTCTGGGTTCTATAAGAAGGTAGACTGAGCAAGCCATGGGAAGCAAGCCAGTAAGCAGCATCCCTCCATGGCCTCTGCATCAGTTCCTGCCTCCAGCATCCTGCCCTGTTACATTCCTTTCCTGACTTCCTTCAGTGATGAACAGCAATGGTGAAGTGTAATCCAAATAAACCTTTTCCTCCCCCAATTTGCATTTTGGTCATGGCATGTCATTGAAGCAATAGATTACATAACTAAGACAAAGACTTAGCTAGAGCAATTAATCAGGCAAAAGAAAAAAATATAAAAGACATCCTGGTTGGAAAAGAAGATGTCAGATTGTCTCATGTAGATGACATGGTCTTATATAGGGGAAACCCCAAAGAATCTACTAAAAAACAGAACTAGGGGACTGGAGAGATGGCTCAGAGGTTATGAGCACTGACTGCTCTTCCAGAGGTCCTGAGTTCAATTCCCAGCAACCACATGATGGCTCACAACCATCCGTAATGAGATCTGGTCCCTTCCTCTGGCCTGCAGGGACACATGCAAACAAAACACTGTATACATAATAAATTAAAAAAGAAAGAAAAAGAAAAAAAGAAAAAAGAAATAGTTTAAAAACAGAACTAATCAATGAATTAAGAAAAGTTGCTGGGTAAAAACGTTAATATACATTGATCAATAGCATTTCCATATGCTAATGGAAAAATATCTGAAAAAGCAATCTTATTTACAATAGCTCCAAAAATAAATACAAGTAAATTTAGTCAAAGTATCTCTAAAATATAAATTATTAAACCTAATTGTGGCGATATATTATTAATGATTTATTAAAGCCTGAGGATTTAGAAAACATAGTCAGCCTCAGGCTATAGAGGTCAGGCAGTGATGATACACAACTTTAATCCTAATCAGGATTAAGAGGCAGATGGATCTCTGTTAGTTCAAGGCCACACTGACTACATGAAATTGATCCAGTCCTAAAAGAAACAGCTCACACAAAGGTGATCTCAGCACCTGAGATTACATGCCTTTAATCTTAGCACTAGGGAGGTGGAGACAGGAGTGATATGACTGGGCAGAAAAAGAAATAAAAGGCAGGAGGAGACAGGAACTGAGAACTATTTGCCTCTGAGGATTCGTGGCGACAGGATTGCCATTTCAGCTGGGTAGAGGTAAGATCTACTGGCTTGGCTGCTTTGCTTCTCTTGTCTTCAGGCAAGCTTTAATAAATCATAAATATTATATCACCACACTCAGTGAAATAATTTTTGAAAAGGACACAAAACATGAAAAGATAATCCATGTGCATTAATTAAAAGAATGAATATTGTTAAAATTTCTGTACTTTTCAAAGCAGTCTATAGAATTAGAAAAAATATTCCTAAAATTCATATGGAACCACAAAACACCCAAATAACCAAAATACTCTTGAGAAAAATAAAAAATGGAGACATTATACTACCTGACTTCAAAATATTTTAGAAATCTACAGTAATTAAAATCGCATTGTGTGGGCATAAAAACAGAGCAGTAGAAAAGACTAGAGATCATAGAAGTAAATTCATTATGTATATATAGCTACCAAAATTTTATAAGGGTGCTAAGATATTAAAGTACAGTCTCTTCAGATCAATATGTGGGATAATTGGATATCCAGTTTTTTTTCTATTTGTCAACAGTTTGAAAAATCAACTCAAAACAGATTAGAGGCTTATTTTGTTTTCTTTTGAGACATGGTCTCCTTCTATAACTCTGGCCACCCTGGAACTCACTATGTACACTAGGTTGACCTTGAATTTGCAAAGATCTGCCGGCCTTTGCCTCCCAAGTGCTAGAATTGAAGTTGTGCACCCCACAACCAACTGGATTAAAGACTTTAATACAAGACCTAAAATGAAGTCACTAGAAGAAAATGTAGGGGAAATGCTTTAAGATACTGGAACAGGTGAGGAGTTTCTCACTAGGAATCCCGAAGCATAGGAATAAAACAAGAGTAGACAAATTAGAGTGTATCACACTTAAACTTCTGTGTAGCAAGGAAAATCTACCAAGTAAAAAGACACTCATCATATAGGGGAATATTCCAAAGCATACACTTGATAAGGGACTAATAGTGATCATGCAAGGAATTCAGACAGAATTAGTAGAAAAATTAAATGATTTTTAAAGGTGTAGTGAACCTAGGTGGACATTTCTTAAGAGAAGACATGCAAACAGCTAGTAATTTCATGGAAACATGCTCAGCACTGATCATCAGGGAAGTCGTAGTAAGGAATGACCTGCTAGAGAGACTGTTAGCACAAAAACCTAAAGTATATGCTGGCAGCAATGTAGAGAAAAGGAAACCAAACATGATTTTGATGGGATTTTATTGTACAGCTATTTTCAAAACTAATACAGAGGCTCTTAAAGAAAAGGCAGTTCCACTAGCAGATTGAAACAGTTAACTTTTCTCATTGCTATGACAAAATACTTGACAAGCAACTTGAGGAAGGTCGGACTTGAGTGGATAGTCCCATCGGGCTGGGGGAAGGCATGACAGCAGGGTCACATGAAACAGATGATTGTTAGTGCATAGCTTGCCTTATCCTTTTATTCACTCCAAGATCCCAGCCCATGCATTTAGAGTGTGTCTTCCTCCTCAGTTAACCCAATCTAAAAACCTCCCTCATGGACATGCCTAGAAGTTTATCTCCTAGGCAAGTCTGAATCCTGTCAAATGCATCCTCACTATTTGGTAAATATTAGAAAAGAAATTAAATCGGCATGTCAAAATAAGACCTGCATTCCTGTTTTTATTGCAGCACTACTTACAATAGCCAAGAAATACATAAGTGGATAATGGAAATGAGTGTGTGTGTGTGTGTGTGTGTTCATAATGGAATACTATTCCATCTTAAAAAATGGTGAAATCTTTCATTTGGGACAACATAAATAGAACTGAAAACATGTTAAGTGAAATAAGCCAGACACTGAAAGACAAATACCACATGATCTCACTTGTGACAGTTCAACTATATAATTGGGTTTTATTTTTTGATCCTATCTGGTTCTTTTCTTTTCCTCCTATTTTAAATAGAAAATTTTATTCCATGTATTGATAGATAAAACTCATTTATTGCTAAAACTAGTCCAGTTGTTTTCTCAGAAAATCATATCCTCTGTACTTTGTTAAAACATAATACATTTGCCCATATTTTCTAGTCTTTCTGGTTTGGGCTGCTGTCTTGCTGCATTCTGAATTCTATATATAGACAGTATGTACATCTCTCTTTCTGTAGCCTTGCCTCCACCGCCATTCAGGACTGGAGGGGAAGACAGCTCACCTGTTTTCTGGAGTTTAGTTTAAGCTGTCTGAGTCAGGGAGTGTGCTAGAAAAGTAGTCTGTTTTCTAAGGAAAATCAGAATATTGAACCATGGGATCAGTAATTTTTGTACTTTGACATTATAGTTTGTGTATTTCTTTACAAATTTAGGCATTACATTCAGACCACAATTTTTCAGTCTTATATTTTGTTTTTCTTCAGATCATTTTTATAATGAATTTGTGGAGTCTATACTGAGTGCTGCTATCCAGACACCATTTTGTACTGGAAATATTCAGTCTTTGTTCTATTGCCTTGTTTCTGTCACAGTGCCAGGCATTGAACCAAAACATTACATGTGCTAGGCAAGCTCAGGACACTTAGCACAGTCCATTGTTCTTTTTCAGGTCAACTTGTGGAACCATGCGGTTATATCTACCCCGAATTTCCGGTTGTACAGCGTGGCTCTAACTTCACTGCCATTTGTGTGCTAAAGGAAAAGTGTCTTCAGCAGTACTATGTGAATGCAAGTTACATCGTGTGGAAGACAAACCATGTTGCTGTTCCCAAGGAGCAGGTCACTGTCATCAACAGAACCACGTCTAGTGTCACCTTCACAGACATGGTCCTCCAGACGGTGCAACTCACCTGCAATGTCCTGTCATTTGGGCAGATCGAGCAGAACGTGTATGGAACCACCGTACTTTCAGGCTGTAAGATCTGTGTCTTCTTTGTAACTTTGTCAGACTCTAAAACTACATTTTTAATAGTTTCTGTTAGCCTTCCCAAGGACAGTTGCTTGGTTCTGTAGCTTTTGGATATACTTTTGTTATAAAAATATTTAGAAGTACTACGTATGTTTTCACCATTACCCACAAATGCAAAAGAGTAACATGGCTGCCATCTCTTTGCTAAAAGACAAACATTTGTCAGATTCTTTGAGAAATGCTTTGGTCAGAGTATTATTGATTTGCAGAGCTTCTGTTGATATCAGCCTTCTGTCTCCTCATTACTGAGAAAGGCTCAGGTTAACAGGTCCATGAATGAAGAAAATGGAGAAACACTGAAAAAAAGAGGCTGTGTGTTTGAAGAGAGCAAGGATGGGGTATATGGGAGGGCTTAGAGGGAGGAGAAGGAAGGAGAAATGATGTAAGTATAATCTTAAAATATTCTTTAAAAAGTGCAGAGGCTATAACTGAACTACCAGTATTTACTACAGCCATTCCAAGACAGGCGAGAGCTTGCCATACTTCGAAGACAGCAGGTCAAGATTTCCATGGAGAATGATTATCTGGGACTTCCAAGAATTGAAAGTCCACAAAAAGAACATGCTGACTGGCAGTGGAAAGTTCACATGGCTGTGTTGTCTATTCAGTATCTCACTGTCAAATATTTTGAAATAACAGGTAAAGCTCAGAAAGCTGTGTATGATCGGATGCGAGCAGATCAGAAGAAATTTGGCAAAGCATCATGGGCAGCAGCTGCAGAACACATGGAAAAACTCCAGTATGCAGTTTTTAAGGAAACTTTGCAGATGATGAGAGCTAAAGAAATTTGTCTGGAACAGAAGAAACATGCACTGAAGGAAGAGATGCAAAGTTTACAGGGCGATACAGAAGCTATAGCTCAGTTGGATCAGCAAGAGGCTGATTACTATGATCTGCAGCTTCAGTTGTGTGAAGTACAGTTTGAAATCTGTGAAGAATTACTATCGCCTGCACAACTGGAGAGCATCAAAAGACTTATATCAGAAAAAGAGAGATGAAGTGGTGTACTATGACACTTACGAAAGCATGGAAGCCATGCTGGAGAAGAGATGGTGGCATCTGTGCATACACAGAGGAGGAGCTCTAGAAACTGTAGCAGAAGGCATGGCAGCTGGAAGCAAGAAGGGGGCGTGTCTCAGCCAAGAAAGCCTACCTCAGAAATTAAAAGGAAATATGTATTGCAAAACACAATGAAAAGTTCCAGCAGCATTTTCAGAGTGAAGATGAGTATAGAGCCCATCACACAGCACAACTAAAGAGAAAGTGCCTGGGTTAGCCAAGAGAGACAAAGGACCCTGGATAGACTTCGAACATTTAAGCAGAGGTACCCTGGGCAGGTCACCCTTAAATCAACCAGACTAAGAGCAGCTCATGCCAGAAGAAGTCCAGCGAGTCCTGTGCCCTGTGACCAGCAGTGTGCCTCTCTAGCAGGAGTACTCCAAGGAGAGAAGACAGAGGATGGGGAAGAAAGAAGCCATCTCGAGTCTTCAGAGACAGCAAAGCCCTGGAGCCTTGTCCATCTTGAAGACACTTGTCAGTACAACTTGAAGCCACTTCATTACCTCCCAATGCTGCCCCCACCCTCTCCCTCCTCTCTTCCTGTTGCAAAGGACAATGGTGCCACCACCATTTCAGAGACACTGAAGAAAGATACACTTAGGAGGGCAGTGAGAAGAGGATCCCAAAGTTGGCCAGCGCCCCATCAGCACAGCTCTTTGATAGCAACCAGCTGGTCAGTGTGCAGAAGAACCTTAGAAAGACTGCTGAAGGTTTACAGAGGAGGAGAGTGAGTTCACCCATGGATGAGGTGTTAGCATCCTTGAAGCATGGTAGTTTTCATCTGAAAAAGGTTGAACAGTGGACTCTGCCTCCTTTTCCTGATGAAGGTGATAGTAATAATATCTTGGCACAGATAAGGAAAGGGGTGAAATTGAAGAAGGTTCAGAAGGAGGTTTTGAGACAATCCTTCACACTCCTGCCCGACACAGACCCTTTGACAAGGAGCATCCATGAAGCGCTAAGAAGAATTAAAGAAGCATCCCCAGAGGAGGAGGATGAAGCTTTACCTTGCACAAACTGGGAGAACTAGCAGGTGACTTAACAGAAAGAAGAAAAATGCCCATGGATGAAGACTGGGTCTGATTCTTTTGGGGGAAAAGTTTAAGCTCTTGGTCCCATATTGGATTCCATTAGACCCTGAGTATATTGGCAAAGTGTTGTGAAAACAAGGAAGCAAAATTAGAGGATATTACTGTTCAGTCACTCTCACTGGTAGTGGTGACGTCAGTTTTATATGTGCAATGTTCCTGACTGCCGAGAGAAGGCCTTCTGAAGATGGTTATCTCTTACACACCTTCTCTTCCTATCTGCCCATTCATGATCTCACAGTGGCCAGTTACACCTAGGAGTCACTATAAACTAGAAGAATACTGGGTTGGCAGAGTTCTACTGTATGAGCTACTTTGGGATTCATCTTTCTGTGAACTGAGAAGATATTTGCTGAAGCACAGCTGCTTCTACATCAGCTTCTAGAATAGAGTGACTTGCTAAAGAAAAAAAAATATTCTTTAAAAGAAGTGGAACTGGTGATACAGACAGATGGGGATCAGCTAGGAGTTACAGTTTCAGTGTTTACATTGCTTCCACTCCAGTGTCAGAAAGCAATAAGGTCAGAGTTCAGCAGCCAGGTATGATGGTGTATGTCAGAAATCCCAGCACCTGGCATGTAGAACAAGAAGATTGAGAGTTTGAGGCCAGCCTGGGCTACATAGTAGGACCCTGTCCAAAAATAAAAAAGTAAAATAAAGTATATGTGAATCATTTTTGCTTCTATAATGCCTTTCATTATTTATAATGTATGATTAGTTTTAAAACACTTGATGGAGACATTATTGATCATTCATCTGGTTATAAATTTTTTTTTTTTTTTTTTTTTTTTTTTTTTTTTTTTTTTGGTTTTTCGAGACCAGGTTTCTCTGTGGCTTTGGAGGCTATCCTGGAACTAGTTCTTGTAGACCAGGCTGGTCTCAAACTCACAGAGATCCACCTGCCTCTGCCTCCCGAGTGCTGGGATTAAAGGCGTGTGCCACCAACGCCCAGCCTAAAAATTTATTTTTATATAGAAAACTAAAGTGAAAGCAATAAATTGACAGTTACACTTGAAAATATATATAATGACCTAAAAAGTATTTAAGAGTTTGAAGAAAAAAATATTAACATCTGTTTCTTGTTTGCCCATATCTTTATCTTGGGTTTGTCTAATTGAGGTGGATCTTAGGGGTTATGTAAGTTGGATAATATTTGTGTATATAAGGGTTCTTTTTAATAATAAATAAATGCATATTTCCTTTTAGTTCCCCCAGATATACCTACAAATTTGAGTTGCATTGTGAATGAAGGGAAGAATATGCTGTGTCATTGGGACCCAGGAAGGGAGACATACCTGGAAACAAACTACACTTTGAAATCGGAGTGGTAAGTTACTCCAGATATGCCCTCTGCTGGATTATCAGCCACTGTTGCTGGGACTTTCGCTTTGTCAGTAGTGGTATTTGGTGAATATTTCATATCCTCTGACAGTAGAGTTAATGTGCTCTTTCTGTGCCTCTGTCAGCATTGAGCAGTGTATGTACTCTGCCCCATGCTACCTTCAAGAGAAGCCTAGCCATGGCCTGTCCATAGATATCACAGTGCATAGCTCTAAGTGATGACTTCCAAACACATTCACATGCTATTTAAAGTCTTTGTCAATGTTCTATTGCTCTGAAGAGACACCATGACCATGGCAACTCTTACAAAGGAACATATTTAATTGGGGCTGGCTTACATTAGAAGGTTTAGTCCATTATCAGAATGGTGGTAAGCATAGTATCAAGCAGACAGACATGATATGATGATGGAGAGGGTAGCTGAGATTTCTACATCCAGATCAGCAGTTAGCAGGAAGGGACACTGGGTATGGCTTGAACATTTGAAACCCCAAAGTCTACCCCTAGCTACACACTTCCTCAACAAAGCCACACTTACCCAAACAAGACACACCTCCTAATAGTGCTACACCCTAATGCTAAGCATTCAAATATATGAGTCTGTGGGGAGCATTCCTATTCAAACCACCAAACTATATTTCAGCCCCAACAAGCTGAAATATTTTAATACCAACCTTTCAACTAGTATTTCCTCATTTCGCTCATAAAAATGTTTTCTTATAAAAATATTCTTTGAACTGAGATTTAAAAAAAAAACAAAACAAAAAACCTCCCTACCTTTTAAGTTGATAAATTTTTCTCTTTCTTAAATGACACATTCTACCTATTTCTGTTTCCTTTCCATGTAATTGAGTTACTTGTTGGATATTGTGTAACATATTCTCTTGTCCTTTTATTTCTTAAAGACTGTTGTCTATATATTTGGCCAAATTTGGGTTGGGTTTCTTTTCCCCAAAATTTCACTCACAGGGATGTTGTGTTCTTCATTGCATGGTTTTCCTAGCATTAAGTTGAGGGCTGGGGGGAACCCTGAATCAGTAAAGTACACAGGCCTGAGGCTCTGAGTTCAGATGCCTAGCACCCACATATCAGGCCAATAGATAGATAGACAGACAGACAGAGAGAGGCTGGAGCTTACTGGCCAGCCAGCCTGAGTCATTGAGCTTCAGCCTCAATGTGACACTGTCTTTAGTAAGTACAGTGCAGTGGGATTGTGCACACATACACACATACTGAACATTGATTTCTAGTATTGCCAGCCTTAGGCAAATTAAAAATCATTTTTTGATACACACAAAAGCTAAAAGAACAGTAGTTACCTATACACACCTGCTACCTAGATTCTACAGTTACATTTTACTAGATTTGCTTTATCCCGTGCATATGCGTCCTCCTCCCCAGCAGTCAGTTTCTTTCTTTAATGAATTTCAAAGTGAGTTGTAAGCATTAGAACAATTTACATTTGAATACTTCAATGTTTACATGATTAGATCAGTATTTAAGTATCCTGAACTTGGCATATAGTGAGAGCACAGATCTAAAATGAATTTATTATGTAGTAAGTTTTGACAAGTACATACACCTATAGAACTCAGATGTTCCCTGAAGTTTTCTAGTGTTTCTCCTCAGTTAATTCTAGTCCCCACCCCAACCTATGAGGCAGCCAGTAAGATTGAACCAGCTCACCTCCCATTTGCTTTCTGATGTTTGAGCATTTGTCAGTGATCATTATTGCTGAGTCATAAAATTATAGCATTCTCCTTTGTTTCATTTATGTATTTTATTTTGTAGTTCTTGGTACCAAAACAAGTGCATCTCAGATACTCAGCAGATACTTTGTATTTGAGCTAGACCTCTAGTTTCAGAGTTACTTGAATGTTCTCACACAAAAAGATAATGTGTATTGAGTTTATGTTGATATTTTCATCTTTGAAAAGGGGGACTATAGTTATACCGCATTCTCTTTTCTTCTGCACTGAAAACGCTAGTTCCCTACAGTACTAACATATGTTTGTTACAGTTTCCCACAATAAACAGGAATGTAATTCCAAACACATTCCAGTTTTAGCACTGGTAATGCTGTTTCTAAAAGCAGTTTTAAGGTTGATTTTCTCCACAAATATGTATGGTCAAGTCATTGTTTTAGAACATTTGAAATTGGGGCTGGAAAGACGACTGCTGCTCTTCCAGAGAAACAGTTTGCTTTACCTTTTAATTTTTTAAGGCATATTTTATGTGAATGTTTTAAACTGAGTTATAACTTTGTGAATAATGTAAACTTTCTATGGTGACGGCAATCAGAAAGCAACACCCTGATTTGACTGTTAAGGTTGAAGAAATTTGGGGGCTTGATAAACTTCCTTCATCTAATCTTTTGTCACCTAGCATATTATGACAAAGAAAGACATTGCTGGCTTTGTAGGGATTCTGTTTCAAGGAGAAAAACTACAACAGTCCCCTTAATCTGTTGTTTCAGTCTAAAAGTGTTAAATGAACAGTTCCAGAAATAAGCATTCCTGAGCAATTGTTCTCCTGTCTACACTGATGGAATCTCACATCCCTCTCAGTCCTGCCTTTGGTCCCACATATCCATACTGCCTACTGTTAGTTACTTAGTAATCACCTTGGTTACTAGATTGATTGCTGTTATAGCACAGTGCCATGTTTAAAAAGAAAAGCCAGTTTTACTTAGTAGTGGTCCCAAAGCATAGCATTGTATATACAAAGAGAAATGATGTAGTAGTTTTCTTAAGTGAAAGACAGAAAGTTCTTGAGCAAGGAAAGAGAATAATCACTTGCTTTGCTTATTTTAATCTGCAGCAAGGACAAATTTACTACTTGTGATACTATAAAGAAGAAAAAATGATGCTATTCACATCTTAGTTACCACCATAGTATGTGATACTTACTTAGATAGAAAGGCATTAAATCTGTGTCTGGATGACATGAACACAAACCATGCTCCAAATGAGTGAAAGACATTGCTCTAGGAAGCACTGGGCCTGCAGGTAATTCCTGAGGGAAGTGAAACCAAGCCACTTACTGTAAGAAAGGGATGGTTATGTATATTCAGAAGTAGGTTTGAATTGAAACATATATAACCTACTGAAGAAACTGTCTTTACATTTGCAGGTGCCCAGTAGAGTATACAGTCATTAAAGTGCAGTGGTGGTATCATACCCATAAAGCATAGATTTACTCTGTTACTGTGTGGTCCTGGTTCAGTCGTACAATTAAGCCTGGTGTAGTGTACAAAGTGCAGACTTACATGTTTATCTGCCTGTGTTCTGGTAGCATAATTACAATGTGGAGGTGACACACCCCTTCTGTGTGGGTGGTTCCATCAGTGCTTTATCCAAGAAGGGGAAAAACCCTTAGAAGAAGGGTTTAAGATGATTTAAAGTCCTACTAGCAGTAGATGGTGCAAAGACTGTTATCAGGGTAGTGTTTTACCTCTTACTACAGCCTTGGATGGCTGACAGAGGCCACTTGTGCCTGCCTGGTATTGATTGTGTTCAACCAGCAACTGGTGGAGACACTAGTTTGTACATATGCAGTGCTGTAGATGATTCACTGTTTCTGGGATGGTAACAGTCATAGATGCAGTGGGTAAATTCAAACTAGAAACTACGTGTAATTGCCTGCTGGTAAGTTTATAGAGTGTAGTGAATGCTTTTCAAAGGTTTACAGAGAAGACAGGAAAATCGTTCACATGGCAGATACATTGCTAGAGAACGATTTGTTGACATGTGGAACAGCATTGAAGGCCATTGAGAAGTACTAGTGAATGAGGAATGGTCCATCTTGTTGAGTCACTACAGAAGAAGATGAAGAGGAAACTGAAGTATAACCAGCAATGAACACATTATAAAAACAACCTTGTAGAACAAAAATTTGAGAACTCAGGGAATCTGAAGAGTGCTTGAATTTATACAGACACTGAAGAACAAAAGTAAGGACCATAGTCCCTAGAGAAATACAACATAAAAGTGTGCTTCTGATCACAGGCAGATCACAGCCTTCCTGAGCAATCCTTCAATGAGTTAAAGACAGGTAAATTGCACTTACAGTGTTCTTATAGAAGCTTGCAGCAAAACACTTTAAACAATAGGGTCACCAACCATGGACAAAATCTGCCCCAAATGGCATCATGGCTTTATCTAGGATACCTGAAAAAGATAGTCCTTGTCTTAGTGTTCTATTGCTGAGAACAGACACCATGACCAAGGCAACTCTTATAAAAGAAGACATTTAACTGGGGGCTTGCTTACAGTTTCAGAGGTGAGTCCATTATCATCTAGCCAGGGAGCATGGTGACTGGCAGGCAGGTTTAGTACTAGAGAAGTAGCTGAGGGTTCTACATCTGGATCCACAGGCAGCAGGGAGAGAGAGACACTGGGCCTGGCTTGGGCTTTTGAAACCTCAAAGCCCACCCCCAGTGACACACTTCCTCCAACAAGGCTACAGCCCCTTTTCTTCTCAAGTAGCGTCACTCAAATATATGAGCCTCTGGGGGTCATTCTTACTGTAACACCACAGGCCCCTTTCTGAATTATTGTCAGGTCAGTAGAGTCCCAACTCCAACATTGTGTCTCAGGACTGATATCATTCACCTCAATTCAAATCATCTTTTATGCAATGTAACAAGAAAGAGTGAGTACAATACAGTATTTAGGGAGAGACTGTATTCACTTAACTGTTACGTTAGAGTTGTTCATCTACCATGTTTAATTTAGACATTAAATACATCATTATACCTAGGATTTGCTTATTACCCAAATGTTTCAGGAATCTTCAGGGGATCCTGAAACATGTCTTTATGGATGAGGTGGGGCTGCTATTCTGAAATCACACAAGAAATAGATAATTTTTAGTGAAGGGTAAATAAAGACATAGCATAAAATTCTAAAATGAAGTTCTCTTAGATTAAAAATGTAGAAATAAGACCATAAACCAGGAGTTGGTGGCGCATGCCTTTAATCCCAGCACTCGGGAGGCAGAGGCAGATGGATCTCTGTGAGTTCGAGGCCAGCCTGGTCTCCAGATCGAGTGCCAGGATAATAGGCTCCAAAGCTGCACAGAGAAACCCTGTCTCGAAAAGCAAAAAAAAAAACATAAATATAAATCAAGTACAATTTTAAAAGTATGTGATCTGTCCTTGGTAACCAACATTTATTGCAAACTTCGCTGCAGCACTTTGGGTCATACCCAAATTTTTTTCCAGTAACTTTTTTCACCTTTATATTTTCAAGTTTATTTTTAATGGCTGATTCTTCCAATTTTATTTTTAGGCCAACAGAGAAGTTCGCTGATTGTCACTCAAAACATGGCACCTCATGCATGGTTAGCTTTTCTCCTATCTATTTTGTCAACATTGAAGTCTGGGTGGAAGCAGAAAATGCCCTCGGGAAGGTCTCATCAGAGGCTATCAATTTTGATCCCGTGGATAAAGGTACCTATAAGCCTGAATTTGAGAGTTTATCAGGCTACTTGATGGTTTGTAAATTACTTTTCAGACTTTAGCTAACGTAGAAATGCTTATTAGTAGTATAGTAATTTTTATAGTCTTTTAATAATATTATTAAATGTAATTTGGAAACAGAAAAATAGCTGTCCAGCCACACTCATAGCCATTTTCAGTGTGCTTTTGAAATGTTTTATCATTTCTATTTGTTTTGTTTTTGAGTCTAGGTGTCAAGTAGCCCAGGCTGATTTTTAAACTGATTCTGTATCTGAGGCTAACATTGAACTGACCCTCCAAATGTTACCTTTTGTATCCGTTCAGTTTTCCAACATCTCATACCATTGGCAATCACAGTGACTTTCTTGTTCTATTTTTATTTTCTTTTAAAAATATCATTTGTTAAAAATATTTTCAGTATTTTTTTCTACCAGCATCTGAAAATTAGCAAATATACTGAACAGCCAAGGAAAAGTGTCCTAAGCATCTTTTTCCATTATATAGCCGAGTATCATTTCTAGAGAAGTTTCATGCGGTAAGAATAATCTTATAAAGAAGAACATGGTTTGTTGACTTTGTATATGAAATTATAAAAGTAAAGCTTGACCAACATTAGTACTTGTTTTATTCTTCAGTGAAACACATCCCACCATATAATTTATCAGTGAGCAACTCAGAGGAATTGTCCAGTATATTAAAGCTAACATGGAACAATTCAGGTACCTTAAGGCTGAAATCTGACATTCAATATAGGACCAAAGATGCTTCAACTTGGATCCAGGTAAATTGAAAGTTGCTGTTTATTCTAATAATGTTTTGGTTTTGGGGTTTTTGGTTTTTTTTTTTTTTTTTTACCCTAGTATAAAGTTTTACCTCTTTTCTCAATGTCTTAAGTTTCTGATTATGCGAAACATTTCATTTGACAGAAAAACCATAGTTATACCTAGGATTTACTTATTACCCAAATGTTTCTGGCATCTTCAGGGCATCCTGAAACATGTCTTTATGGATGAGGTGGGGCTGCTATTCTGAAATCACACAAGAAATAGATAATTTTTAGTGAAGGGTCAATAAAGACATAGCATAAAATTCTAAAATGAAGTTCTCTTAGATTAAAAATGTAGAAACACACAGGGACATTTAAGAAAGTAATGCAAAGTCTTAGGAAGAGCATTTTTGATGGAAATGAAAGGCATGCAGGTTGATACAGAGATTTTAAGCCTCAGCGGGGCTTGGCATACATAGTTCAGACCATCTTTGCTACAGTGGGCTAAAAGCTGCCACCAGCTATTATAAATTTTACTGGAACAACATGTTTGTTGTTTTTGTTTGGGGGGATAGAGTGGAAGAATTATATAGTTGTAACAGATTTTCTGGCCCATAGCCCACAATCCTTACCCTGTAGCCCTTGATAGAAGGTTTGCCAACTCCTAATACAGGATTAATGGGAATTTCAGGATTGGAAAGGAAGGGATGACATGCCCAAAACTGATGCTCTCATCGAAGGAAGTACTTGAACCTGTCTCAAGGCCAGCACTTCATTGACTGCCTGTGTTACTTTTTGCTGCAGTTCCATTATCACTAATAGCCCACTTTTGCTTTAATTGATTGGTCCATTCATTTATTTTACTGCCCTGGTTGCATTATGAACTTATAAGGATATTGAGCCCAAAACCTTGATACTACTTTCTGCGGCTCGGAGTGCAATCACAATCAACAAAACAGAATTGGGTTCATGACTTAAACTGTATAGAGAGGACTTGTGCCTAAAGTTCTTCAATATATATTGTAATATCATAGAATCATAATTCAGTAGTACAACAAAAAACCCTACCAGACAGAACATCTAGTTTTGTATCTAGTACTGAAATCTCAAAAGTGGAAGAAAAAAATAGTAATTTTGTATATTTGATCTCCCCACGCCCAAATAAAAGACAAGTTTTATTTATTAGGCTAGCTTCTGGTTTTCTTTTCTTTTTTTTCAACAGCTATCTATCTATCTATCTATCTATCTATCTATCTATCTATCTATCTCTGTGTGTGTGTGTGTATGCGCATGCATACATATCACAACATATTTGTGGGAGTCATAACAACTTACAGAAGGCATTTTCTCCTTTCTTTGTGGGTTCCCAGAATTCATGTTGTCATGCTAGGGGCAGCCACCTTCACCATCTGAGCCATCTTGCCAGCCCTAGCTTTATTTCCTTGATGGGGTTGGATAGCCTCCTTTCCCCTAACAATGGCATATCCTTTCTTGTTCACACTGCTCTTGTCATGGTATGCTGGCCTATATGAGGTCACTGTAGGTTCCCTTACCATCTGCCTTCCCATGGGTTAATGCATGGAAGGGGCTTGATGAGAAAGAAGAGGGATAGAAATAAGAACATGTTTTTTTCTTCCTTCTATGGAGTAAGCTGTCTCTCTAAGGCTGTTCCTATCAGTGCTGCCACCTCTGACTCCTCGTTCAGGCTCTGACCCTTTGGACAGTTAGTTGGTAACAGTACAATTTCTAGTATACTAATATATATATGCTGAAAACTAGAGATTCGTTTTACATGGTTTTGATACATACAAATGCTAAAGTATTTTATTAGTAACAAAAACAACACTTGATTCCATCAAGCTTAAGAATGTAAACACAAATCATTTATAAAAATAATAAAATGAGAGCCAGGCGGTGGTGGCGCACGCCTTTAATCCTAGCACTGGGGAGGCAGAAGCAGGCGGATCTCTGTGAGTTCGAGACCAGCCTGGTCTACAAGAGCTAGTTCCAGGACAGCCTCCAAAGCCACAGAGAAACCCTGTCTTGAAAAACCAAAACCAATAATAATAATAATAATAAATTAAGATTAAAAATGTAATCAAGCATGCAAATGCACTAGAACATGGGAACTGTGGCTTAATAGATTAAGTAAAATTCAAGGAAATGGACCTTTTTAACAAAATTTAAGTGGTCCTATAGCATGAAGGTCACGTAAATTACTATTATTTTGCTTCAAGGGTTTGCTACATTGCAAAGGAGATGGAGATTCATTTTACCTTGAGAAGCAGTGACATTCAAACACCAGTTGCCATTTGGATTATATGGAATATTCTCATTCCTTTGACAAAATACCTAGCAAGAGCATTTTAAAGAAAGAAGAGTTTATTTCTGCTGACATTTGGAGGAGACACAGCCTTCCCCATCAGGATGAACTGCGTCTCCTCCAATATATGTATATATTCTTGCTCATATCTTTTTACTATGCCTCCTTGAAGTGTTTTGTTCTTGTTTGTTCGTTTTGTTTTTTGTTTACATAAGTTTGTGTTTAGTTGGTTCCTTTATTTGCTTGGTTTGGGACAGGATCTCGCTTAAATCCTATCTTCATTAGCATAAATCCTCCTGCCTGATATTACAAGCACGTATCACCTCTTTCAAGTTGAAAATCCTGAGTATTGCAGGTCTCATAGAAAAAAGAAAGAACAGATAGATATAAGCTATAGATTGTCATATTTTTACCTTCATTTCTTTCTCTCCAGAGGTTGAATTTATTGATCTTATATGAATTGATTTCTCAAATGTATTCAGTGTAGGAGACCTTATACATTTGGGGTGTTGATGTTGTTACTCAGTGTGCTTTCTTTTCAGGTCCCTCTTGAAGATACAGAGTCTCCCCGAACATCCTTCACTGTCCAGGACCTTAAACCTTTTACAGAATATGTGTTCAGGATTCGCACCATCAAGGAGGATGGCAAAGGCTACTGGAGTGACTGGAGTGAGGAAGCAAGTGGAATCACATATGAAGACAGTAAGTAAAAAGCCTCCTGATGCTTAGATATGACCATTTTAGTCAAACTGTGGTGTTTTATTCTTTTATTTGTAAGGACATCACACAATAAAACTTGATATGTATTATTGATAAATCCATTTGATACCTAATTAGGTTACATTATTATGGAAGGGTATTTTAGTTGTCATTAAAAAATCATTCACTTTGTTAAAAAAAAGTTGGTCCCAAGACACCTCTGACTAGAGAGTTGTTTCCTAACTCATTAAAAATCACACTGTCAAAGCTGGGTGTGGTGGTGCATGCTTTTAACACAGCATTGGTGAGGCAAAGGAGGAAGGTCTCTGTGAGTTTGAGTTCCAAGCTAGTCAGTGATATACAGTGTTAGGCATTTTTATTCTTCCTACCACCATTTGATAAGACCTTGGAAAAGGACTGATTGGGAGTTTGGGTTGGTTTGCTTTAATTTTACTTTTTTCATCATTGATTATATTAGAATTACATATGCTCTACAGAATACAAAAGCACAAAAAGGTGTAAAAGTCTAAAAAAGGGTCTCTCTGGGTCTGGTGAGATGGCTTAGTGAGTAAGAGCACTTGTTGCTCTTTTAGAGGCCTGGGGTTCAATTTCCAACACCCACATGTCAGCTCATAATGTGTAACTCCAGACACTGAATACTATAGTGCCTAGACATACATGCAGGTAAAACACTCATAAAATTAAAACAAATACATCTGAAGAAATAAGACTGTGCTGATTATCTTGCTTGTACAAATAAAGTCTGTCTGAAGGTCAGAGAATGGAGCTTGCCACTAGCTAATCATAGAGAGTGGGACAAAAACTCCATCTACCTAAGACTCTCTTCACAGAGCTGCTAGTATTATTGATCTCCTGTGTAGCCACCAAGAAGCAATGCTTTAGCCTACAAACCCCATTCCTTCATACTATCTTGCTAGAGGTTTAGGTCTCTCTGTGAACTAAGAATGTCCCCCCATTCTATAAGGATTTTCTCTCACTCTCATAAACACAGTGAAGAAAGTAGTCTTACTATGGCCAGTTGGAACATGTTCAATCAAATAAGTTCCTTTGGCTTGCCAGAATTTTTTTTTTTTTTTTCAGGGGAATTCCTATTTTATAATACAGACTGGTCCTAGACTCTTAGCAATCCTCCTGTCTCAGCCTTCCAAGTGTTAGGATTATAGACATGAGTCACCATGCCTGGTTATTAACTGGATTTTTAGAGGGTTGTGGATCCATTTGTACAAGTTCCTGAAACATCTCAGAATGTAAGCAAAATCTGGTTAAGTGTACATTCAGAGTTCTCAGAGCCAAAACCTTACAAGCCATAGGATAAAAAGGATAAATTTTTTTTTGTTTGTTTGTTTTTAAATCAGTACTATCAACTGATTGCTCAGACCTATTAAATTAGGTGTGATAGCATGTTCTTGGAATCACAGCTGTCTGAGAAACTGAGGTTGGAATATCACAGCTTCAGGCCCAGCTTGGCCAGTCACAGGATCCCGTTTGTTTTTCAAGAAAGAACTACTGTTAAATATAATTGAAGATACACTAATCAATAGAATAAGAGATTTGCATAAATATAAGTAGTGGGTTTGCTGGCTATGAAGAAGCAATTAGAACAGGCAAAGGAAAAGACTAGAGAACTGAGGAGGCTGCTTTTCAAGGTGAAGGTGTGTGTCTGAATACAGTGACGCACCCATGCAGAAGAAAGCATGCAAACACAAGAAACAAATAGTAATGTTTTCTTGTCTATTTATTAGAATATACTTTTATCTTTATACCATTAAGATTAGAAAAGAATTCTATTGTAATCCACTGCCAAGCACCATGACACAGCTGTTCAGGAAGCTGAGGCAGGAGAATCATTTGAGCCTAGAAGTTCTGACCAACCCTGGGTAGCTATAGCAAAACCCCAACTCAGAGAAATAGATGATGATGATCTAAATTACCAGCTGTCACTTACCTAATGAAAGACCCAAGAACATTATACTACAGTGGGCCTGCTGCTGGAAAGAGAAATACTGTGATTGAAGGACAAGACCATTAAGAACAAAAAGCATCACTTCAGAATTTTACTGTATTGTTATGATAAAAGCATTTTATTTTATGAAGTGTGTGTTTTCTTTAGGACCATCCAAACCACCAAGTTTCTGGTATAAGATAAATCCATCCCATACTCAGGAATCTAGATCTGCACGGCTCATATGGAAGGTAAAAAACTTAAACAACAACAAATTTATACCCTTATCCCATATAAATGCATTTAAATGTTATTTTAAGTTTTTAACACTTAAATTTTTATTCTATGCATCTTAATTTCCTCCAGGCATTTAATAATGTTATTATATAGAAACACAAAGCCTTATACAGCTAATGAAGAAGCCAACCAAGTTCACGAACTTAGCTGATCCCTCATTTGGGAGTTCAGCACAGTTTATAAAAAGGGTAACTTCTCTAAGAACAAAGCCTGTGTTCTGAACTTACTAGGGGAGCCTCCTGGGAAGAAACTGAGAGAGGCTTGGAAACAGCAGAATGTGGGCTGATGAGGCCATGCAAGTGCTGATTCAACACATCATACTTTAAAAGGTAGAGGGGAAAAATGCTGAAGCATAAATAACGTAGACCAACATCTCAGCTGTGCAGAACAATACGGGACCAGGATCTTGACCATGCTACAGCTCCGGTTCAGTTAAAGGTTTTTGTTTTGTTTTTTTTGTTTTTTTTTTTTTTTTCCCTGTTTGTTTGTTTATATTCTTTCTTAGTGAGTGGTACTAAATTCAAAGTGAGCTCAGGCTGAAGAGACAGCTCAGCAGTTATGAGCACTGTTTGCTCTTCTAGAGGATCCAGGTTTGGTTTCTAGTGCCCACATGGTAGGTCACAACTGTCTATAACTCCAGGTCAGGGATCTAGCATTCTCCTGGCCTCCACGGGCACCAGGAATGTACAGACATGCAGGCAAAACATTAATACACATAAACATAAATATTTTTTTAAATGAGTTTGACTTTTCCAATTAAATATTTGACATACTGGCAGAATTTGTGGATGTGAAAAAAAAAATGGTTATTTGGGATTCATAAAATAATTTTTGGTAACATTTTATTATAGGAATTACCTCTTTCTGAAGCCAATGGAAAAATCTTGGATTATGAAGTGATTCTTACACAGTGGAAATCATTTTCACAAAATTACACCGTTAATGGTACAGAATTGATAGTAAATCTCACAAATAATCACTATATAGCATCGCTAGCAGCAAGAAATGTAGTTGGCAAATCAGATACGGCTGTCCTCACCATCCCCAGCTCCCACTTCAAAGGTGTGTATAAGGTAGAGCCTCATTTGTGGGTGTCTGTGTTAAGTGTGGACAGGGTCCTGGAAAGCATCGAAGAGAGGCTGCTCTCTGCACTCAGTGGCAGTGACCACAGGTTGAGATCAACAGGCTCTGTCCATCAGGACTTAGGAAGTATGGCCAACCCTGTGCAGCTTGCTTCCAACTTTGTGGCTTCTTTACTGATTCCACAAGTGCTTCCTGGTGATTTGTTTGTTTGTTTGAAATACGTCTCAAGGTCCTCAGAGCTGTCTTTGCATGTGACATAAATATATTGTTTGCCTCTGTTGAGGACAAAGACACAGTTATAAACTTAAATACATAAAACCTTTGGAGATTTGGGCAAAGAAAGAATTTAAAAATAAATTGACTACCTATGTGTAAGTGTTTTTTATTTTGGAGGTTTATAAGCCACATACTTTGGATATGACAGAAAAATATTGAAATATCAGATCTATGAGTGTTAACTGATTTTATCCACATTAAACTTTGTTTTAAAGCTTCTCACCCTGTAGTGGATCTTAAAGCATTCCCAAAAGATAATAAACTCAGGGTAGAATGGACTGCTCCACATAAACCTGTGAAGAAATACATTATCGAGTGGTGTGTGCTGTCGGATAACTCACCCTGTGTCCCAGATTGGCAGCAAGAAGGTGGCAGTGTGACACAAACCTACTTAAGAGGTATACCTCCCTAACTGTTTAAGTAGATACCTTTTGTCTAACTCCTTGAGACAGTTGCCTTTCAATGCTTTTGTTCTGGTTTTAAAGACAGAGCTGCAGTAGAGATTAGTTGTGTGGCTCTTGGTGAGTTACGCTTAACACTTAGCCACTGAACTGTAGGGTCTCTGTGTGGAGAAAAGGGCTAATGCTTTTCTGGACACTCACAAAACTAGTAGAGAATCAAGTCCAGCCTTCCCTGCCTATTGTTGGTTATTACCTGTGCTCAACTCAGCTAATTCCCTAATCCTCCAGATATAGTTCCCTAGTTTAACTTAGTAGGGCCATCGAGTACACGGAGCCCAACCAGAACACAGGCTTCCCTATGCTTTCAAGTTCTACCATAGAGTAGTAATGATATTGCAGGGTTCAAAAAGCACTCTTCTGTATGATTGTAGCTGCTACCTACTATGTGGTTGTGAAGTCATATAATAGCTTTAAGGAAAAAATAGACCACTCCATGTATGTCCTTTTACTCATAAAGAATGGTGACCCTAAGCAGGGGTGGCTGCTGTAAACTACCTGTACTTTACTTGTAAAGTGGCATGTTTGGCTCTTACCAACCTACTGTTCAGTGTTAACAAGCTTGGGTATATCTTTTGTCAGACTTACCATATAAAAACCATGGAGCTTAAAGAGCATAGGGTCAGCTGGACAGTGGTGGCACACCCCTTTAATCTTAACCAGCACTTCAGAGGCAGAGGCAGAGGCAGGCAGATCTCTCTGAGTTCAAGACCAGCCTGGTCCACAAGAGCTAGTTCCAGGACAGGCTCCAAAGCTACACAGAGAAACCCTGTCTCAAAAAAAAAAAAAAAACAAAAAAGAAGAAGAAGAAGAAAAAAAAAAAAGAGCATAGGGTCATCTCCTAGAGACAAGGATTCAAGGCCCAGTACCCTGGAAGCATTGTTGTGAGAGCAAAATTTAGAAGTGGCTCAGTTTTTGGTAATAGGTATCAAGAAAAGGTAAAATTGCTTGTCCCGCGCGCTCTGTATTTCTCGGCCGGCAAGAAATACACGCAGGACACTCGGATCCTTCTGCAGACAAGCTTTAATGCATCTTACCAGAGCGGAGACATTGAACCAAGAAAACCATCCCTTATAAAGGCTGGCCAGCCGCCTGGGACGTGTTACCCTATGAATGGCTTCAGCTCCTCAGGCCAAATGAGCCACGGGATAGGCAGAGATCAAAGGAATGGAGATTACCCAGCGCCTGTGAAGTAATTTACATCTTGGTGTCTTCAGGCACCATTATAATGCAGGAAACGGCCCCTTACATATCCCCCTTTTTTTATTAATTAATGATAAGGCTTTACATTTTTACAAGCAAATAGGTCACCCATATGTTGAGGGATAGAGGCAGAGGTTGAACCTTCCCAAAATCAAACATTAAGACTGTGTACAAGAGTCGCCATCAGGCTGTTAGCTTGACCCGAAGCGCTCTTGACCTGTCCTCTGCCGTTTTTCTGGGAAAG